CTTTCTTTCTCTTACTTGCTCTTATTTTTCTTAAATCTGCATAGTAATAGAATCTTTCTTTCGTCAATGAATTGAATTGGTGTTCCACAATTATTGCGATCACTTTTGCCAATTGTACACGATTATTTCTGTTTTTTCTTCTTTTTTAATCTAATTTTTACATTCACAATACAGTATAAGACAAAAAAAGAAAAAAATATTTGTTTGTTTCAATTTCTGCTCTTTTCACCATTATAAAAAGTAATTTGCAAACTAGGTACATTTATGTTATATTTTATAGTATACAAGATGAATCAATGATTTCTATATACACATAGTTGACGACAGCCATCTTAAAGGTACTCGGTAACATTGTGATGGTTGAGTTTTGAATGTGATGGCGGCCTCGGGAAGGGAACATATATGTGCAAGTGAGCGGGCGAGAGCTTCTGCTTAGGAGTGCTTATCAAATTATGTCGTGTATGCTGATAATAATGTACGCTTCATGGCAGCCTTGACAGAACATATTAATGCTGGCAGTTTAATTCAACGAATGGAAAAATATGAAATAGAATGTCCCTTTCTGCAGTCAGTGACTCAACGATGCCAACACATACATAAGCAAGAAAACTTTTACTACACGTTTCACAAAGACATACTCTTAACTAATGTACACATTTAAACTTAACGCATTTCATGTTTTGCCTTAAAAATGATTTTTCTTCATTATTTATGTGGCTGTTGTATAATTGATTAATGTTTGATTGTATATTATAGTTTGGTCGTCTTCATATAGGTTCCTTACACGAGGCCGCCATCACAATCAAAACTCTAGCCTAAGATGGCTGTCTGCCGTATTTTTCAAATTTTCAAATGTTTGGTCAGCTATGTGTTTATTTAAATATTTAGTTATCTAATTGATAATACTAACTGTGTTTTGATAATAGTGCACTTTTAACACGTCAAAGTGAACAGTCAAAATGTCATCAACATAATCTAATCAATCAATAATTATTTAATATTAGTTGGTTGATAAGATTAAACTACTGTAGTGTAAATGAAAATGATTTTTTTTTCTTTTAATAGTTGGACCGTATTTATTATAATAACATGATTGTAATTGTATTCACCTCAAGTTGCTTATTTATTATCGCATAATAACACCAACAAAAAAAAGACTTTAATTATTTAAATCTTAGACAATTTGTGTACTGTTGCTTGGTAATAAAGAAAAATAAGTCCTAATTAGTATTCACTCAATACAAGATTGTTTTTCTATTTTCCCATCGGATTTTGTCAACTCAATAAGTCTCATAATTGTTTTCCTGGGTTTTTTTTTTACTTTTTCTTTCTGTCCCTCTACTTCTCTCACCTTGCCCCCTCCTCTCTCTCTCTCTCTCTCTCTCTCTATTTCCCTCTCTCTCTCTTTCTCTCTCTCTCTCCCCTCTCTCTCTCTCTCTCTCTTTCTCTCTCCCTCTCTCTCTCTCTCTCTCTCTCTCTGTGTCTGTCTCTCTCTCTCTTGTTTACTCCAAACACAAATCTCGGCTGAATTTGACACCTTAGTGCTACACGTACAATGCGCAGACCCTAAACAAAGAGTTTTGCAACGGCCATCTCCTATCATAGACATCTGAACAAATAGGAAAGAAACCGATAACCAGAATATGCAAATACAGTGCGTTTTTTATACGGACATTCAGAATAATGCCTCCGAGATGACTTTCTCTTCAACGACCCCAGACACACCAACGAGACTGACATCAGACCAATAACAATGCGAACCAAAGAATGAATGATTTGACCAATCGCCCAAAATCGATCGGTTTGTAGATGAGTTGGCGGGGTGACTGAGATATAACATTAGTCACGTCTTATATATTCTTGTCTTTAATTTTACAAGTTTTACTGAAGCAAGTGAGAAATAAAGTTATATTGTTACCAATAGCAGATACAGGATTCTCTGACAAAAGGAGGGGTTCGGATGCACAAGTCGAAGAAAAGGTTATCACATTTTTGTTCTATAGGTACCTAAGGGTCGAAAATTGCTACAGGGACACAATCATGTCGTTGTTGTTGTTGTTGTTGTTGTTTGTGTTGTTGTGTACTTATGGTAAACCAGATGGACTTCTGCCGGGATATCCGCCCCCCCCCCCCGAATGAGAATTTATTTGTCGTCTCTATTCTCCTGCTAATGAGCTAATGTAAATTATACTAGTGCCATAATGAGTAACTTGAACAATTTACAAAATACACATTCCCAACAGTTTTTATATTTTACAAATTACTAAATTGATATGAATTTAAGTTATGATTAAAGCAACGATTCTTGAGTCGCCTATCCGCATTGGAGGATCCAATCTGGTATATAATACCTTAAATTGTTTTTTCTTATGCTGTTTTTTGTTCTATTATTATATGTAAAAATGTTGTGAAAGAAAGAAATAAAATGAACCTTGAACCTTGAAGTGCACGAGAGACGAAAAATGAATTATCATTCAAAATCAACAATCGTGCTTGTTTCTGGAATTATAAGCCAAATTGAATTAAAATTAAAATAAAATCAATTGCGTGTACGCCCTTGTCGAAACATTCCTTCAAACGAATGGAGATAGTGATCAATTATCTTACATTATGTAAAGATGATGAGCAGCGAGAAAGGAATGCCTGCGGGAGAACTTGAAGGGTTTCCTAATCATATCAACCTCCACGTAGTATCGTCCCTCCTTATAAAGAAGCACGTATACAAACGTAAACGAATTAAAATACTTTCTAACCTCACTACAGGTAGTCACATACACAAGGAGAAAGTTGGAGGGAGATGCTGTGAACACTGTAGTGTTTCGAATGCGGTGGTGGCATAAGGCGAAACATCTTAAAGGTACTATGTCCCATTTGCAGGCCAAAAAAAATGAAAAAGTTAAATTCCAACTGCATTTGAAAGATAAATGTTATTTAGAACTTCCCTAAAAAAGTTGGGGCTTGAAAATGTCTTCAAGTGGGAAAATAATGACTATTAGTTGTCAAATCGACTTTAGGGCTATAGAGCCCAAAAGTAATAGTCTTGATTTTCAGACAATTGTACCGAATGGTCATACGTTTTATGCTGCGCAAAGATTCAATCAGTTTAATCTTGGCCATCACAAGAAGTGGGTTATTGATGTAGACAAATGCTCATGTACCCTCTACAACTCTTTTCATGTATGTTATTACCAAAGGAGAAAAAGGCCAGTCAGTCACTCAATAGTGTCTGACAGTGAAGTCTAGCAAGTAAACGGGTTTCCTTGCATAATTTGAATATGAGGACACTGCTAACGTTTAAATTTCACAGATAGAACAAACATGACATATTCATAATTCCTGCAAAGTTCTACAGCATAGTACCTTTAAAGACGAACTAGATTTCTATAACCAACAAAATGTGACATAATTATAAAACAGGCGAATGTAGATACTAGGGCCCCGTCTTACAATGAGTTGCGATTGATCCAAACCAATCGCAAGTCCTCCAATCAACCAATCGCAGGTTTGTAGTCCCCTATCTCTTATGTATATAGTTGCGATTGATATCAACTCTTTATAAGACGGGGCTCTCATGCAAATTAGTCATCTACGTCCATAAGACTTTAGATTAGTTGTTATGTTTAATAAATGCATGATCTTTAAATCGTCTGGAAATAAAATGGTTCATGCACAACGGTGGCAGGTTGTTGGACCTCTCTCACTATCTCTCTGTGTCTATCCATCTGTATATATCTTTCCTATCTCTCTCTCTCTCTCTCTCTCTCTCTCTCTCTCTCTTCACCCCCTTGCTAAGTGTATCTCAGGTCTGATAACAAAACGAACCAACTTGTCGATTGTCAATTTAAAGGTATTATGTCACATTGCAGGCCTAAAATGGATACGTTAAATTCCACCGGCATTTGAAAGATAATACTAATTTAGAACTTCCCTCAAAACGAAAGGGCTTGAAAATGTCTATTAGTGGGGAAAAACGACCGTTAGTTGTCGAATCGACTTTAGGGATTACAATCCTTTTAGTAATAGTCTGATTTTCAGACCCTTGTACCGAATGGTTGTAGGTGTTGTGCTACGCAAAGATCCAATCAGTTTAATTTTGGTCATTACAATAAGTGGGTTATTGATGTAGAAAAATGCCCATGTACTCGTTACAGCTTATTTATGTATATTGTTATTACCAAAGGAAAAAAAATCAGTTATTCACTCAATAGTGTCTGACAGTGATGTTTAGAAAGAAAATGGTTTTCATTGCATAATTGAATACTAGGACACTGCTAAAGTTTAAATTTTACAGATAGGACATACGTGACATATTCATAAGTCCTGCAAAATTCTACAGAAATTGATGTTGGCTACAAATGGAACATAGTACCTTTAAAGTACTTTTTCATTTTTTGGGCCTGCAAATAGGACATAGTACCTTTAAAGTAAGGTATATATGTATTTTGAATACCATGAACATTGTGGAGGCTAAAGACGAAATACTTCATCACCATGTTAGGAACACACTATAAAAAGAAGTATAAATTTGAAATTTATATTTGAAATATGTTTTTATGTGCTCTGTAAGAATAATCTGCCTCGTAACAAATTATTACTAATATTGTATCATTATTTAATGATCTTTAATCAAAAAGTAATTTTGTATTTATGTTTATGTTCGGCACCAACCGGTAAGGAGAGCCTCTCGACAGGATTACCAATTCTTTAGGCAATCCACAGGATTTAATAAATAAAATAAAAAATAAATTCTTTTCTAATCAATTGAATAAAAGAATGAATATTGAAATGAATAAACAAAAGTTATAAAAAAAACATTTGATTATATTATACTTTCCTCGTATGTTTCCGAAACGCATTGTAAGGAAACTACTGAAGAATATGACAATTAAGAGGCTATCTGAAAATCTTGTCGAGCCCTTAAAATTATGATAAACCACCTTTACTTGTCACTTAAAATGTTTCAGATTAGTTCACTTTTAAAACTAGATCACGTGACTTACTTGTTCATTGCATTTTGCATGATGATCATCCGGACGGCCCGGATAAACTTCCATCTTGCCTAGGATAAAAAGACGAAAGTAGAATTATCAGATAAGTGAAGCAGAAAAATCAATCATGACAAGATGAAAATGTAACATGCCAAGATGAATTGGACAAGAATATACGACCTGTTATAAAACAAAAACAAAAACAATTCTGATGGGGTTTTAAGCACAATCTAATCATGAAAGACTGACAAGATATTCAATAAGATGCATTATTTTAGGGGGGCGTGCCCCCCCCCCCCCCCCCACCCGTGGCTACGTGCCTGATTATCATATCAACTTTAAATGCGAACGAGCTTTGGGCAAGATTAATGGAAAATTATTGCTCTTAGTTGATTTAATTTATGACCACATTTTAAGGTGAAAGGACAAAGGGGCACATATCCAAAAGAAAAAAAGAAAAAGAGCACGTGTCAAATTGAAAAGAGGAATTATCAGAGACGAAAATGGGGCACTATCGCACCTGATAAGGGGCACTCAATAGATGAGAAAAAGGCACTTATAAGAACGGAAAGGGGGCACTTATTACAAAGGAGAATTAGGGGCAAGTATTAGAAGGAAAATAATGATAATAATAAGATAAATAGAAAAACAAAAATATAGGTTCAGACCGTTCAGCATGCATGTAAACTCGATACCAATGTACAATCTGTACGCTTTCTAACTGTGTTGTTCTGCAAATATCAGTGTTAATCCGGAAGTAATAGAGAAGATGAAACATCAAATTAGACATGCCAAATTATTCGTGAAGACAAATAGTTACTGCTGTGAGGATAATGTTGATTTTGCCGCCGCTAAATGACTAACTGTGCAGTGTATTACTGTCTATTGGTTCTTAGAAAAACTAATCATCAAAATATAATTTGAAGCTTTATCAAGTGATTCACCCCCTTAATTAATTATTTAATTAAATGAATGAATAGATGAATACATTTCAATGACCTGTCGATTTTCCTTTTGAAACTGCCAATATTCGGCAAACAGCCCCCTCTCAATCTAGCACATGGGGGAATGGTTTTCGTTTTCTCATGAATCTCGCCGCCTATGTCGATATATTTGTAATACTCTAGAAATAAATCTATAATGGCCGGCCATAATTGTTTGATGGGGTACGCGTCAAAACATGAAACAACAGCTAGATGATAAAGAAGGCACTATGAAGGCATTTCATTGCATACATGTCAAAAGTAATCATTTTATTTCATGATGCACAAAACTGATTTAGGGACAAGATAGCAGTATCGCTTTGTAGATATTGTCTGCATAGGGTATAAGCTAAGTTCAAATTCGGGCATTTCTATGTTGCATCCGCCCCGCAACCCTAGGTAAAGCCTACAACCAGAAGCGCTTAATACATGTAATACATCTGCAAAAATAATATGTCGACAAATCTGCCCATTTTTGAATGCTTTCACGAAAAGTGGTGCCTCTTGATTGTTGCGCGCCAACGACCATGACCATTATCTACACCTCCGCGTGAAATCTACTCTCGGTTTAAATTGCATTACCCTTTCAGACAAAGCTCAAACAAAATCTGAACACCTACAAATAGAATAATCTTACCTCTTTCGGTGATAAATTCATCACGTCTCCGATATATACATAAAATTATTATGTGCACCTCCAACGAGAGCGTTTTTACAAAAGAAGTTCAGTTCGAAATAGTTCAGTCCACTGCAAGATGGTCCAGTTAATTATTGTTGCCTTTCTGTTGTTGATTTCGCACCGTTTCTTATCCGCTCAGAACTTTAAAAATTATGTCTTCCACACCTAAACTATAAAGGAGAAATCGGCTTTCGCTTTCCGCCTCAGTCACACCGTTAAACCGACTTCATACCGACTCCAAATCGACCGATTTGGGGGACCATTGCGGATAATGTGTTCGGCCTGTTGTCTGTCGGTCTCGTTGGTATGACTGATGTAGATAGCTCAAGATGAAATAATTCGTGTGGTCTGTTGATATTCGTCGTGTAGTCTTATCCTCGTTGCTTAAGCCTCTTTGACAACGTCCGAGCTAGAGCTTAGCTTTAATAGATACCCTGAGGTATTATATCCTTAATGACAATGGGATTCTGGTGGACGCGTAGTAATATGTCTTCATCTATAAATAACTGGCCATACAGGTAATAACACGGTACATGTTATTGAAAACTGTCATATTCCAATAACCGTTCCCTTTATAAATATAATCGCTCGTGATGTAATTACGACAAACCCCGATGACCAATTTATGTGCAAAAGGCGTAAAGGTGTCTTCATTTAATTCATTTTCTATCAGTGGGTCCAGAAATTCCACCGCGTACGTTGTCTCTTGACATTTAGCAGACGTGGTGTTTTATAGTGTACGACTACATAACGGCGTTCAATCAACATCTTCAAGGCTAAGACAGGGGCTAAGATTTGGACCAAGCATTATTTCGTTTCGTCACATGGGTTATAATTAAAGAGCACTAAAAGGTGCATTGACATTGTCGATACCCGGGGTCGATACCCTATATACCTCGCACTATGTACAGATGTAGGCTTACTTTGGTCCTAAGCTGCACCCGCTATGCAGCAGTGATCAGATATCATCCTCCTAACTCGAATATAACGGTGATCACCAGTAGTGTACTTTCTTCCCTCTCATTAGCACTCTGTACCAGTCAGCAGGTGTAGGATACTCAATGTTAAATACACATTTTAAGTGGTGGTGGCGGACTAAAAGCAAATGGTGTTGATTTAGCAATTACCATTGATGATGCAGAATAACATCGTCAATTATTTTGAAATATATTACTTATATGCGATCGATTTTAAATGGGTTCTGGGGACCTGGTCGAACCATCTGCAAGAATATATCAAGAAAAATACCATCATGGCAAATAACACAGACATAATACCGCGTGAGTCCAAAAAAAAGTACACACTAGAAAATTGGTAATTATTTTTAAAATCATCTATGAACAGTAAATTATTACACATCTTATGAAAGAGTGTTTTATCCCGAATCATTTAGTATCATTTTGTGTGGTTCGTGTTCACGCTTGGATGAATGTAGGAGGCATTGTTTACGAGAGAGAGTGTAAAAATCGACTTGCGCTAAAGTTGCTTATCTGATGTTTGAATAAAACAATGGGGATTTGGGTATTAATTCGGTCTTTACAGATCCAAATAACATCCCTAACAAAATCAACAATGCCACACATATCAAATATGAATATCAAATATCAACAAACATTTGTGCGCGTGTGTGCATGAGTGTGACTTTGCTTCTGCAAAAAGCATATGCAATACATTTCAGTTGATACATTCAATTCATTCTCTCACTCCGCTAATCCCAACATATAATAATACATACTGTAGGCATTACTTTGGCGCAAGTCGATTTTAGCACTCTTCTTCTTCTTATTCTTCTTCTTCCAGTTAAGTGCAGCTTCAAGGTGATGAAGATAATCGCACTGGTTGCGAACAATGCCATCCAAGCGCGAACACATACCACACAAAAATGATACCAAATGATTTGTGATAAAACACTCTTTCATAATAATAATTTACTGTTCATAGATGATTTTAAAAATAATTAGCAATTTTCTAGGTGTAAACTTTGTTTTGACTCACACGGTATATCAGATAGATCCTAATACTAGCTGAGTCTTCATCCTCTCTTTCTCTTTTGTCGTCCGGGTAATGATGTGTATATAGTGTATTATGTATAGACGAAAATAGATTCCATTCCAGTTATTCATACCACATTCTAAGCGATCGGAATGAAATTAAACAGTTTTCTTTTTTGGTCTCGTTTATGAAAGGTGCAAGCCTTTTAACATGCACAGTAGACCTGTTTACTACTTTTTATGCAAACTTCTCGAAGAAAAGTTTCCCTTGACAACACAAAAGCTTGCCAAACATAGCAACAGTTAGTGTATGCAAAGGGAATTACATCTATAGAAATCTCATTATGTATAGCAAGTGAATCTAAAACATGTTGTTAGTAACTAGGGATTAAGGATTAAATTATTTCCTATTAAAAAAGGTGTATTTGTCATTGGTAAAAGTACAATCGTCTTTTACTGTTTTGTTGGTCTAATGTATATTCAGGCTTTTGGTTAACCGAGTCAGTCTTTTGTTCGACAAGAAAATGCTGTTTTCGAGTCTATAAAGAGTAAGACCGCTTTAAAGGACGTTCTGCCACTGGCATGTTGACTGTAAGGTTCTTGAGCTTGGTGTGTCTTTTTATAGGGAAACAATGTTTACTGGTTGACACCCTGAAAGGTGCTTCTACTGAAAAGGATCAGATCACTTCTTGTAAACTTCTCGGGATACCATTTTTTTTGAGAGAGAAGAGATATAATGAATGAAGATGCTATAAGCTTAAGTTCAACTGATTAACACAACAATAAGTGTGACACCCCAACCCGCCCCCTTCTATATCTCTGTATGTCTCATTTCTTTCCGCTATGTCGCTCTCTCTCACTGTCTGACTCACCCTCTCTCACCCTCTCCCCTGTCTCCACTTCTCTCTCTGTAATATGTCTCATTTATGTCGCTCTCTCTCTCTCTCATTGTCTTTCTCTGTCTAACTCACCCTCTCCCCTGTCTCCACTTCTCTCTCTCTGTAATATGTCTCATTTATGTCGCTCTCTCTCACCGTCTTTCTCTGTCTAACTCATCCTCTCCCCTGTCTCCACTTCTCTCTCTGTAATATGTCTCATTTATGTTGCTCTCTCTCTCACTGTCTTTCTCTGTCTAACTCACCCTCTCCCCTGTCTCCACTTCTCTCTCTATAATATGTCTCATTTATGTCGCTCTCTCTCTCTCACTGTCTTTCTCTGTCTAACTCACCCTCTCCCTTGTCTCCACTTCTCTCTCTGTAATATGTCTCATTTATGTCGCTCTCTCTCACTGTCTTTCTCTGTCTAACTCACCCTCTCCCCTGTCTCCACTTCTCTCTCTGTAATATGTCTCATTTATGTCGCTCTCTCTCTCACTGTCTTTCTCTGTCTAACTCACCCTCTCCCCTGTCTCCACTTCTCTCTCTGTAATATGTCTCATTTATGTCGCTCTCTCTCACTGTCTTCCCATAGGAAAGTGAAAAGTATGCCGCAGACCTGCCGCAGATCTGCCGCAGACCTGCCGCAGACTTTTAGTCTGCGGCAAAGAGTATGCCGAAGTATGCGGCAGAAAGAAATTTTGCTGCAGACTTGCCGCATACCAGTATGCCACAGGAACAGTCTGCGGCAGATCTGCGGCAGGATGAAATTTAGCTGCAGACTTGCCGCATACTACACTGTTGGTCATAATGATGGAATATTTATTTTTACCCCAGTTTAGGGAAGGATTTGAAAAAATTATTTATTTCTAATAGATCTAGATAATGGCATACATTCTCAGATTTTATTGAATATTAATTTGCGAGTGTTTGTTTTTGCGTGACTGCTAAATCATATGTGTGCTACTATGCTAATCAGCTAGGGAACCTACGTCCTTAAATCATAATTGACAGTAATGAGGATTAATGCCTCACAAAAGGGCACTAATATAGCTGATCGACACGATTTTTTATCCTGGGGCCTCACAGTAACAAGGCCATTGCTTAGCCCCTGAATCATGACTTTACGCAGTGTTTGCTAGGGTACGCGGCCCCTTCCACAAATCCCCCCAAACGAAGAAAATGCAATAAATTGTCAAAAATTCATTGCATTTCCCCCCGGCCCCCAACAGGAAAAATTCCTCTATGTGGCCATGCCTTGAACCATAATGCACGGCCCTACCGAATATTATTTTCTGTTGGGGGCCGGGGGAAATGCAATGAATTTTTGACAATTTATTGCATTTTCTTCGTTTTGGGGGATTTGTGGAAGGGGCCGCGTACCCTAGCAAACACTGCGTACAGTCATGATTCAGGGGCTAAGCAATGGCCTCGTTACTGTGAGGCCCCAGGATAAAAATCGTGTCGATCAGCTATATATTAGTGCCCTTTTGTGAGGCACTAATCCTCATTACTGTCAATTATGACTTAAGGACGTAGGTCCCTTATCTGATTAGCATAGAAGAACACATATGATTAAGCAGTCACGCAAAACAAACACTCGCAAATTAATATTCAATAAAATCTGAGAATGTATGCCATTATCTAGATCTATTAGAAATAAATAATTTTTTCAAATCCTTCCCTAAACTGGGGTAAAAATAAATATTCCATCATTATGACCAACAGTGTAGTATGCCACAGGAACAGTCTGCGGCAGATCTGCGGCAGGATGAAACTTTGCTCCAGACTTGCCGCATACTAGTATGCCACAGGAACAGTCTGCGGCAGATCTGCGGCAGGATGAAATTTTGCTGCAGACTTGCCGCATACTAGTATGCCACAGGAACAGTCTGCGGCAGATCTGCGGCAGGATAAAACTTTGCTCCAGACTTGCCGCATACTAGTATGCCACAGGAACAGTCTGCGGCAGATCTGCGGCAGGGCGAAACTTTGCTCCAGACTTGCCGCATACCAGTACGCCACAGGAACAGTCTGCGGCAGGTCTGCCACAGGAAATCCCATTAAAGTCTAATAGGGCCAATTGAAACCAATCATCTCATGCATATTCATTATTACTTTACACGTGTGACAGAAAAGTACATTTATCATGATTTGTTAAGCAAATTAAGACAATGCACATCATTTTTGTGATTTCTATTTTCCTTTTGCCATTATTAACCAATAGATTATTTTGTCTGATCATGTTACAATTACATTCACGTTTAAGCAATAGATATATTGATTACTAACCAAGAAACTATGATTACTAACCAAGAAACAATATACATATTTAGTATATATATATATGTGTATGAGCCTGTGTCACTTTAAATGTTACTCTTGAATACACTTCAAATGATCAATGTGATGAAGTTAATACAATTAAGAATAGAATATACCTAATTGGTAATATTGATATATATTGGTATTACCTAATTGATAATATCGATATTGCCAATATCGATTATGAAGTATCAATCAGTTTATCACTGGTTCTTCTACATGCATACTTTATTGCCACGTACTGGATATGAAAGAGTATGCGGCAGGTCTGCAGCAGGTCTATAAGAGATATGAATATTCATGACGAAGAGTCTGCGGCAGGTCTGCAGCAAGTCTGCGGCAGACCTGCATCTTCATCATACTGAAAGAGTAGGCGGCAAGTCTGCAGCAAGTCTGCGGCAGACCTGCCGCAGACTCTTCATCATACTGAAAGAGTATGCGGCAAGTCTGCGGCAAGACTGCGGCAAAACTAATTTGCATGTGAAAAAGATGACTGTCTGCGGCAGGTCTGCTGCAGATCTGCGGCAAGTCTGCCGCAGGAGTATGCGGCAGGCTCATTTCTTTCCTATGGGTTTCTCTGTCTAACTCACCCTCTCCCCTGTCTCCACTTCTCTCTCTGTAATATGTCTCATTTATGTCGCTCTCTCTCACTGTCTTTCTCTGTCTAACTCACTCTCTCCCCTGTCTCCACTTCTCTCTGTAATATGTCTCATTTATGTCGCTCTCTCTCACTGTCTTTCTCTGTCTAACTCACCCTCTCCCCTGTCTCCACTTCTCTCTCTGTAATATGTCTCATTTATGTCGCTCTCTCTCACTGTCTTTCTCTGTCTAACTCCCCCTCTCCCCTGTCTCCACTTCTCTCTCTGTATGACTCATTATGTTGCCCCCGCTCTTTATCTCTATATCTTACTCTCTCTCTCTCTTGCTTACTCTTCTTTACATAACTATTACTGCATCAATTTGTTTAAATTATATACGACTCACAAACTGTATCTCATACACGAGTGAAAACTGAAAACAAAGAATACTTGACACTGGATAAATTTTGTTTTTACATTTTCTGCGTTCAAATGTATTTTCCTTAAAATTCACATGAACATACCTGGCAAGTTTCAACAAATTGATTAGAAAAATAAAAAAGTGAAAATTGTTAACAATAACAATTCACTCCGAATACCAATTGGATATTACAAAAAAGTCAATAATATTAATTACAATATATACAAAAATACATACATCTATATCAAATTCGCCATACAGAATCTCGACAAAAATATTATGAAAATAACATTGCCCTCAAATAACCCATTATGATCACATTAATTTTGTCAACTTTATTGATAATAAAAACACGTATTTTGGGTAGATTAGTGCAAGTTTAGTTGTCCCGTATATAAATCAACATAAAGCTTAAGAATATTATAATCATCCAGTTTCTATTACAAAGTAAGTTAGAGAGTCCTTTTAAAAGAGAGAGAGACTGTATTTATACAAGGCTGGTGTTCTGTACACAGTCTTAATGTGAGTAGTCATAGCATAGACAAAGCATCCAACTTAGTGGACATTAAAAAGTTCATCTTCCTCAGAGTTCAAAGATATTTGGGACCTACAGCCTCGATCCAACGGGCTGGCACGTCCGCCTGGTCACAGTTCGCCGACAGGTGTCGCACTTCACCTGACAACACCAAACGAAGTTGCAGTTGCAGCTGGACGTAATGACGACTTGAGTCTTACGGATCACCATCCCGCAGCTCCTACACAGTCTGCTACAGCTCTGCTTCACCCATCGGAACGATGAAGGCGACGTCGAATCCTTGGTCAATGATGACGATGATGATACCTCGGTGACATCCTCTCGCACCATGCACTCCCTGCCCGCAGTCCCGGTGACACCGATGGTGAGGTTGGCACGGCAGTAGTCGGGGGACTGGTCCAGGAAAACGAGGTCGCGACGGTTGTGCGATGCGCTCACTACGGCTTGAGGGAAGCGATCTTCAGCGCTGTTGCCGTCGATGAGTTTCCCACGAACGAAGTCGACGCGTACGGCCTGGAAGTACTTGCGCTTGATCTCGTCCCCGATGACACGGAAGTTTGCGACGTGGTTCCAGCAGGTCTGTAGAGAGCAGGAGCCGGAGACGCCATGACACTTACAGGTTCGTTGGAGGGTCTGTTTGACAGCCTGTCAACAATAAGAAGAAATAAACAGTTAGTCAAATTGAATACGAATTATACATCATTAAGCGTCAATAAACTAAGACTAAGATTTTTGTTTAACTAGCAACAGTAAACATATTCCCCCCTTTTTCCCCCATTCCACAAGGTTCCTTTATTAAACAATGTCGCTCACAATGTATACAAGGAAAGATATACACATGCAGAATTTAAAAATGATATTCTTGGCCATTCAAAATATGATAAGAACATACATTTATATATATATATATAAGTTACAAATTGCAATTTTTTAAACATCACAGATTTACTCGGCAAAATAAATTTAGAAGAAATGAACAATACATAATTCATAAAACAACTAAAATTATGGTTATTTTAATAAAGAAAAAAAAGGTTATACGCAAATAGTATGAATTGGCTGGTAATTATGCACTTTGAGAGTCTGACTTTCATAAAGTCTTACCATTTCAAAATTAAAAACGAGTTATCACTTGATATTTGTGAAAATGCTTCACTCTTGGACAATTTTGAGAATGAATTTCATGAAGTTATGCTAACAGTTGAATTAACTTCTTTTTTTTAAGAAGAGAGAAATAGACCACTGGTGATTCGATATCCTGGGAATAAGAATTGCACTTCGACGTCACTTTTGGTACTCACCTTTCTGCCAGCCTCGTTGTTATGTAGAGTCATAACGGAGATGGCGCCCTGTGAACTCTCTGCGTCGTCCATGATATCGCTCGCCATTCGTTCACCGAATCGTACATTGTCGCTGCAGCCGCCCCAAGTCCAGCCCTCACCACCTGAAAAATATCACAGAAATTAAATAAGTTATAGATTGAACTTGAAGCTGAATTAACAACGCTAATCATTAAGCAAACAAAAGTATTGAACAACAAATATATTCCTTGCATCAAACACAATCGAGTTTGTGAAACAAAAAATCGATGCAGTGGGTGCAGAAATTCTCGACCTTTCTAGTCGTGTATTTAGTATATTTTCAGGACTGTGAATAAAAAACGACTGTGCTAATTATATACCACAAAGTATGGACTGATTGTCGAAAATGAAGGGGTTTCTTAATAAATGACTGATCTGTTATCCATAGATGATAATAATAATGATAATAAGGATTAACACGATCACAACTATTTACGAAAAATCAACCTGAGGAATTTTCAATAACCTCGCACTGGGTCACGTTTTGTATTTAGCGAACATTACAATGACGCAATTATTACGTTATCCGAACATGATGCTATGAGACATACAGTACGATATCGGAATCGCCATTGATGTGTTGATTATTCATTTATAATTTAAACAATTGAAAAAAAATCTTTAAAAAACCTCTCCAAAAAAAAAAAACGTACCACTATTTCCGTTTCGTCTCTTATCACATCCGCAGTCATCAAAAGCCCCCTGACTGCAGTTCTTAGTAAGTGAATACATGACCCCAGCAGACGCGATGGCTTGAATGAACGACATCTCACGATTAGCTGAAAGAAGAGAAAGAAAACACAGGGTTAAATTATATGCAACTCAGTCATGGCGGGGGATAACTCGATAAAGTTAAACATACTAGATAAAAACAGAATTGCAGTGTATTCATATCAATATTCACAATACCATATATTACATTCATAAATATTTTCTTTTATAACAAGTTGATGCGAACTATTTTGTCATATTTCGTTTAGACTTGCATATTTCTGTAGGACTTTTTAACATTTTAACATCCGCTGTACGCATTCCTATTTCATACATACCTACCTCTGAATTTTAAAGATAACCTATAATTATTTAGAAAATTACACAATGAAATATAAAACTTTAATAGGTCATTGTTGTTGAACATCGTGTGCTCGATCTCCGAAGTGAAAATACCCCCCCCCCCCCCATCTGAATTAACATCATATTTTATTTTTCAGGGGCGGAATCATGATCAGGGACAAAGGGCACACAATTTCGATAATGAGGAAATCAACGTGACTTTTGCGCCTGAATTCGAAAGGGGAACAATGATAAAATTACGAAGCAATACCATGGTTATTTGTATTCTTTATTGAGACTGTACAATACAGGGCTCCACTGGTGACGAATCATATTAAGTTGGATTATCTACCATGTTAATAGATGAATAAACAAATATGAATAATCACATAAATTAATAAATAATTAAATGGGAGTGGATGGGCCCACTTAAATCACTTATTAAAAATAATAAAAACAGAATATATACCTTGAGTGTTTGTGAAGACGGAGACTTCAGGACAATTCCACTTATCCCATTTGAACTGGAACTGACACTCCTTTACAGCATTCTGGATACCAGCAGACACGCTGTCGATATATGTGATGTGCCTCTGCAAAGGGAGAAAAAGAAAGAGATTTAAAGGTCAGCATGTATGTCATTACTTAAAGTTTCAAACAATGTATCCACGTTCCTCGATAATTGATTAAGATATTATATAAGTGTTATATAGAATGATTACGATATTTGTCATTCTTTTACCAAATAGCCTGGATTTGTTTTACTTCTTTTTTTAAATAGGACATTTCTGATAGTGAGATATCACCCAAAAATGTAGCAAACGATTCCAACGAATACAGAGTATACGCAAACAAAAATATATAAGCCTCCATATAAGAGGGAAAAGAAGAAAAGGAGTAAACTGTCATAGACCGGAAATTAAACATAAAGTCAACATTAAACAGAAAACAGAAGATTGTCTTTTAGGAGAAATTTCGATATTCCCAGCAGGGGCGTAGATTATTACTGCGCTTTTGAGAAGGCTCAAGAAGAGTATCTTAAATGCACTCTTAGTAAACTGAGAATACATCGTGCCTAATATCAATAGACATGAACACAATGTAGGTCTAATAACATTTGTTCTCCTATATTAGTAAGGTCTGGCTGACTTATTTTCTTCCACAATTTTGCAGACACTATTCTCTCTTTCTGTATGTACTACCTGGTTTCGTCGCTTAAATATCCATTCCAGATTTGTAAAGGCCGTATTAACAAAAAAGGTCCCTTCCTATGCATACACAAACTCTGACAAAATTTGCTTTAAAAACACGTTCAAGTTTGTCATTAACTACATATTAATTCGAACCAAGGCTTGTAACTATATAGCAGGCAAACGTATTACTGACATTTTTAGAAGAATGTGATTTCCTTAGGAGGAACCCCCCACTTGGAATTCCATATCACGGTGTTAAATACTAACTCTACACAAAGCAGCTTTTTTCCCACGAGTAATTCCATTCCGAAAAGAAAGGTTCATTTTAACCACGATTTTGTCGCTCTTCCAAACAGACCTTTGGATTTAGGAGACCTTAATGGAACTTCTATTGATTTCCTAAACTATAGCCTTTGTACGCAGGAAGATTACGGTGTGCAGGAGAGGGGTACAAAAGGGGTTCACATGGGTGCGTGAAAGAGGTGCAATAGACAAGATCCTCCTTCTAAAAGCGTAAACCTCTTAACACAAGCCGGCTAATCGCGGGGACAACACGGTAACTAAAAAGCAAAGTTGTTTCTTAGAGTCACCGGCTAATTAAAGTTGAGAGTTTGTGGTCTGATTATATTGATACTCGGGTTCTAAAGGCCCATTACGGTTTTTAATTAAGAGGGAGAGTAAAAAGCAGTAAGGGATGATACGTGCTTGAACAAGTTATCTTAAGATGAATCAGAATGTTGTGCTTTTGAAAGCCTTGACGTCATCATGGGAGGGGATTGCAAACACTGACAGGAAACCCTATTTCCGCATGAAAATCGAAAGAGAAAGAAACTTTCAGCTTTATTACTTTTTAGAAATCCCAAATTACCGAGTAATTAAAAGGGGTGATATTGAACGATTTGCAAAGTAAAGTGTTTTTCTTACCTTGGATCCCGCTAGAAGAACGTTGCTTGCTGGTGACCTGTTAAAAAAGGGTGACAAAACTTATCGGTCAGATTAATGTGTAACCCCAACTTTCGTTACACTACCTTTTAGTTGACCTGTATCACTTTCACACCCCCCCCCCCCCCCCCCAAAAAAAAAAAAAAAAAAAAAAATATATTTATTTCACTATCCATACATAAAGACAAAGACATAAATTTATTGTATTATCCCAATTTAAACATGCTATTACTTTTGCGATCAAAATATAAGATTATAAATAAAATGTTTCTGCAAATCAGTTTTTTATTCTAAACAAATGAGATGACACTGACAATTAACATGGTGTCCTTTAAAAAAAAAGACATTATCGCCTGAAATGGTAAACTTGTTTGCAAAAGAATACTTTCATGATGATGATGCTTGCGACGGTAATAGTTCACAAAACGTGTTTTGTTTTATTTTGTTATAGTTGTATCAGTTTGAATGAATAATAGTAATAATAATAGCTAGTTCTTATATAGCGCTTTTCAGGACCGAATGCTCTCTCAACGTACATATGATAAGATAAGTAAATTTAAAGAAGAGACAAACTTACCATATGATTGCTTGAAAGACGGGCACGTTGGCGAGGAGGACGACGATCAGAAGAAGATGACGAACAAATTCCGTAAAAACATCCATGATGTACACTCCAATAGAAGAAATCAAAACTTTAAATTGCGTCTCGAAAACTTAACTAAAATCCCGAATATTTCACGTACAGTCCAAAAGAAAATAAATGGTGATGTATTTCAAACACGATAAGGGTTAAGGATAAGATGCGAGATGGTGTTTACAGAAGATGTGTATCAATTACTATCTCCTGCTGTGAGGCTAACAAAAGTTGAGAGCTGACCAGACACTTGTTGACGATTCGAACTTCTCAAAAGCTAATGAAGTTTATCAGAGTTGTAGCTCTTATAAATTACATCGACACACCTTTGACTTGTCTCCTCATCAAAAAAGAGCATAAATGATACCTTGACATGACAGCTGGATGACGGCTTGCCATTGGAGCGGCGAGCATAATAAGGCATGAGTGGTCCAATGAGAATGCAGCTCATGTTCGCATGAATAGATCCGTGGGATGATCAAAGCAATAGGCGCATCGCTATTGTTTTGGCGGCTAAATTGGGGGCACTTTTGTTCGCATCGTCTGCTCTTTGCAAGGACGCGCTCTCGTGAGCAAGAGAAGAATAGATCGCCCACCGAGCTTTCAATTTGCAGGAACAAAAGGGGATTTCAGGCTTTCTCAAAGTTTGGGTAGCGTTTCTTTAAACTTCCTTTTTTCAAACTGGAACCTAAAGTGACCTCGAGGCGGTAGCTGGTTTGAAAAGGAAGGAGTAAGCGAACAAAAAGATGATGAAGCGTAAGAGCATGCATTTAGACAGATATTCAATCACTAATAATAGTTTAAGATTAAAGATTAAACTCTGGATAGAGCTTTCTGACGAGAGTTGTATGCAGTTAAAAGACTTGGAGTGTACGATTAAGAGCTTTCTAAGTATCTAATACCTCCGTTTCTTTCACAGCAAATGGGACGCTTTATTGTCCGATAAGAAAACACTCCTTTACAAATTACCATTTGTAAAAAGGGTAATTTGTCGATATCTTACTCTGCTCGGTTGAATATTGTAAGAGGAATTTATTGATGAAGGCCTGCTTGACACTTGTGTTCATCGTGTGCTGTGCTATTCGTAAACTTATCGATATGAGAGACTTAATATTAAGACTTGTAGGTGTATAACACGGTGCCCATTTTTGTAATCATAGTTCCTCAATCCACATTTTGTTTATTCATAACTGCATCCATACTACAAAGTTTGTATACGCGCCTATTGATAATGTGCCATATTCGTCATCATTTTATTCGAGTTGCATCGTATCCCGTTAAATGTCCCCGTTATGATCGTTCTATGGACAATTCAACAGTTTGAGAAAGATTTGTTGTTGGAATTCAGTGAAATTTCAGTTTAAACATATTTATTCATGAAGCTGTCTCTCAGCTAGAAGAAAAAGAATATTGTTGGTATGATGGGATAATGATTACAAAATTATTAATGACGAAATTTCACATGGTTTTAAATATTAAGTGTATAAGTGCTATTGTGTATACCGTATTGTATAATCGTATAACAAAAAACTCGCATTAATGGAAGTAAAATCGTAATGTTAGAATATGAAGAATATAAAGTATACATATTTTTAAGAAGTTGGCCGTGAAGGCAGGTAGAAAATCATAACTGATTTGTCAATACATAAAAACAAGCAGGATAAGAATAATATTGAAATATATAGAAGGGAATCGTTGCAAAAATACCAGACCGATTATCCCAAAGCATTTTAAAATTCAACTAATTATTGTAAAGTTAGGCCTATTTAAGTATAGGCATATATATAAACTTTCACTGGCATTATTGTATAATATATACAGAGCGCGTGAATAATAAAGTGGAATTTGAAAATATGACTTTTGTACGGATGTTATTCTTTCCTCTTATTGGAATGAATGACCATATCGACCAATATTTTCATACAATTTAGATTTGTGACCAATATTTCATTCAAAGAAAGACACAGCATGTATTATGAGTACACAAATATTTTGTATGTAACAGCGACTTGTTTCGATTCTTTTTGTGTGGTCTTAAAAAGAAGCTGTCCAGATATTCATGCAATAATTGATACAGCACCATAACTTCCAAATAAACATGTCAAATAAAGTTGAATGTTAATAAGTAAACGCAAATGTATTGTACAATTCTCGAATCGAAATAGCATAAGCATAGAACTTCCAGGTGATACTCGAGGAACACCCTACATGTCATTCTTTTGCGTGATAACCAATAAATTGGCAATGCCATAATATCTCGTTCGTTGTTTTATAATGTACAACTGTACAACTTTTTAAGCCTTTCAGTAATTTGTCATCACTGTACATTACGTTTAATATAATGTTTAAAAACAGCCCAAATGCTGCAAACGTATATTCGATGTTATTTGTTTGTGTTTATTTTTGTCTGATTGATCCCCTCCCTCCCTCGCTATCGTTAATTACTTTTACATTTTTATTGCAATTAGATACCAAAATTCACTTTCATTTTCAAAAAGTTTAATTACAACTTCACAATCTTGTTACAGCCATTATAGAATGTTGATACCTACCGAAATATTGCAATCCTTGAGAAATGACATGAATAATCATGATAATGGAGAAGTTTGACTTTAAGACTCATACCAAACCTCTGCAGAAAGACTTTGGTAGAGTATAATTCATGATGAAATTTGAATATAATGTTTGTTTTCCTTTGCCTTCTAGCACCTGTACGTAGTTTCTTTTACTAATCTAACTTATCAGTCTTTAATTAATTTACATATTTCATGTATTCGATATTTTGTTCATAAGAATCATTACCATTTTCAAAATAATCATACAAATTGTACATAATTATCATGCAATACAAATTAACATTATATTCGTGTTAACAAGTTTTATTCTTCGCTAACAATAATCTCGTGATATTTAAAAACTGTATTGTAAACGTAAACATGTTTTGTCTACATGTTTATGATATGGAGAACATGGGTTCTATTTGCCATCGCACACGTGTTGATGAATATCAAGAGCATGAGTCATCCTTTAACTTAATTAGTAAGAAAATTGCATCTTTTCAAGTTCAAGCCTGTCAGGTCCGGTAGGTATCTGAACAATAGACCATCGCATGTGTTTGATGTCGTCAATTTAGCATAAGTGAAAGGGAACTTTGTAAAGACCGCACCAATAGCGAGGCTGCCATGACTGTGTATATAATCGGGGTAAGAATGGGAGCTGGGATAGACAGCTAATTAAGGGGGTGGTAGGGCTGAAAACTCTATGCATGACACATTATAGCACTCGTCTTTTTTTTCTTCTATTTTTTTTTTCGAACAAAAGCTGGGAGGGGCTGAAACTCTATGCACGACAATCATTGAAATATAGCACACGTCTTCTTTTTTTTTCTCTAACAAATGAAGAAAAAAAAAACATAAATACGTAAATATGCAGTAGGCTTGTGGTTGCACAATGTGAGAGAGACGGAGGATTGGAAAGTCTTGAAAAGGACTCTCGATAAACTTTCTGTCTTGAGTGTGTGTAGTCCTGAAAAGGACTGTTGGTGTAGTCTTGAAAAAGACTATTTCTTATCTTAGCTTATAGTTCTAAGGAGAACTATAGCGCCGGTTGGAGAGGATAGGTGGCGGGAGTAAAATCGTAACATGTTTCATTATAGTATATTCCTTGTTTTGATGAGAAAAGGCCAAACTCTAATATAAAAGTAGAAATGAAAACCGATTATCTTATATTTCGTTTGTTTTGCTTCCCTTTTCGAAATATAGTGCCCAAAGTTTTGTTGCATGTTATTAAACCATTTAAAACCGATTTGAAGAAACGGTGTTTTTGTTCTTATACTATAACATTTATTTTGAGACGCATTTTCTCAGTGCGTCAGAAAAAGATCGCAATTGAAACGATTCCGTACAGAAAATGGACACTATGGACACGTTTTATATCCCATTGATATGTAAACATTTTATATTTTTTAACGATGACGACATAAACGGAGACACCTTTCAATTGTCCATATTTATGTTCACTCCTATGAGCTTTTATCCTTTCAAATCTTAGATTAATATCTATTATGCAGCAGGATTTTGGATTATGGTTTGGAAGGAGAGGGGCATAAGTATTACGTGTTGATATAATATTTCGCAAGCGAAAGAATATACTGATTTTCATATCTTCAAATGTATATATTTATTGTTATTACTCTCTCTTCTTTTTCTTATTTCGAAAATGGCACAGGAATTATTGAATTGGTGAAATTCCGTATTAAACCTTGGATCATCAATAGTTTGAGGTTGTTAATCATTCCAGATTTGTATTCGTTCGTGGATGATAGTACAACTGGAATGCCAGCTAGAGCATGTACCCCTACTGCACGGCGGTTGTTGTTGTTTGTTTGTTTATTTGTTTTGTGTGTTTCTTTTTTTGGGGGTACAAATTATGGTGACATGATTGATCATCATCATGATAAAGTTTGAGTTCTTCTTACAAGAAACAACTTCCCTTATCTCATTTCTCTACTGTTGAAGTCGGGAGCACCCCCCCCCCCCCATCTCAATTCGGATATAACCCCCAATTCAGCTTTGGAAGGGCAAACAAATTATTTCAAATTTCCCCTTAACATTGGCAAGGATGACAGCAGATCTACTTTGGAAGATGAGGGGGGGGGGGATGTGTGAAAGAAGCAAGCACAACCAATAATAAGGCGGACAATCAATTACGATAATATCATGGGTCTGTATATATAGCGCCCAATTCATCTAAGCGTTTTACTGGGGCTAGGGAAAGAGTATGGCAAAAAGAAATGATGATATTAACTCTCTTCCACAGTCATGTCACTCGGTAATTTCTTTCGATCCGTTATCTTAACCATGTCTATTTGTAAGTTTGTTATACTTTGTATCTACTTTATTCGCGTCATACACTAAAATGTTCAGAAACATAAGCAGTAACCTTTTTTCGAATTTCGCGATAGGAAGAAATATTTTTTTTTGTAATATTTGTACAGTAATTACTACACAAATGAAAATAAACGTGAGTAATGATCTAATTTGTGGTTTCAATTTCAATTCTTACATGCAATTGTTATTATGCTTCTTCAATCTTCATGTAACCCTGAGGAAATAGCCTGTAAATTATTCTAAGCCTGAACTGTCACAACTCCCTCTTGTGTTCTTTACATGAAGAGAGTTTATTTTGTGTCAAAACTAAAATACGCGCCTGTTCCTAACGCATGCGCAATACTATTGTTGAAAATGGAGTACAGCCATTGGTCGGTGTCT